GAGACTTTCTTCATGGATTCGCTCGATGTGACGATGTAATTTAGGAACGGCCGCTGTGATGTAAAGACAGAACTTTTTATTTCCTTATGTTATGGGATTCTAAGGGTGGGTGGGTGTTATGTCTAAACCGTGAATACAACTCTTCTTTAAAATTGCTCGATCCGGAGCTGCTGAACCTAAACCCTAAACCCNNAAACCCTCAACCCTAAACCGTAGGGCGGTTTACAGTTTAAGTTTTCGGGTTTACGGTTTGGGTGGTAATTCTGCCGGGCAGGTTGCGTGATCGAGCAGTCAGGAAAAACGTGACTTGCAATCGGCCAGGACACCCATGTTGACATGAATTTGCACCTTGACCGTCTCAGTCGTATCATCGGGTTCCACGTCCAGAACGATTATCTTTATTGCCAAGTCTTGCGCATGATTTCTGCATGGCGAGTACAACGAAAACGTGCTAGTGGCTATCAGATCTTGTGACCTAGTGCATTACACCGCAAGTTACTATGTAAATACAAGACTCACAAGACCTCATCAACGCTGCAAGCAGCCTTGCTGCACTAAAGTCTCCCAAGGCTGCAAGAAGTATGTCGCTACAGACATAACCAGACCCCGAACTCGGCCGATTCCAGGCTTCATGAAGCGAGTGCCGTGCTCTTGTGATGGTGCTTAGACAGATTACAGTAAGCTCCAACGGGTGGGAGGAGGCACAGGTGAAAGTTTCCGTACACTTGTGACTCAACGTGCTCCCGCCATTGTCCCGAGCTAATTTTTGCCGGCCTCAACTCCGTGGACCTCGAAATCCTCCTGTTCTAAGTAACGGGTTGCAAACTTTGGCCAAAACCTGTTTTGGAGTGGGCATCCTCTTCCCACCACAGTGCACCGAATGTCCAATGCCAAAATCATGCTCCTGCCACAGTGCCGCACTCGGACTTTGACCTCATGGTGTGGTGTTGCGAGCCTGAGGGGCTCCCGGAATGGTCCTTGGGTATGCAGCGCTTCGACTGCTAGGTGCTCTGTCACTTTTTGGCTCAATGGCGGCGTCATGCAAAGACAAGCTTCTCACACCAACCCAGCGAAGCCCAGCAAGGCCTGCAGAAAGGTGGCACTGTACCGAATCCCTGCTCTCAGTGTGTTGTGGGCTCTCCATCTCCCCAGGTCAACCGATTTTTGAAGCAACCTGCATGGCCAGAGCCGTGAGGGACTAGAGACATATCTTAAAATACCGTGAGCCACTGGACTAAGGCGACGTTAGAGTGCCGGTCCATAGGTTTTTCCTTTCAATGCCGCTCAAGCTTCATCTAATGTCCAACCTATGCAAAAGACGAAGCGATTGTCTTGACAGGCAGCCACGATTTGTGGCCATGCAAGGCAAGCCTAAAGTCCTCAAGACCCAGGAGAAAACGCGAGGCATTCATCGGAACAGCGTGAGAGCTCCCCAAGCGGCTAACTTCCTCGCTAAAGCTAGGTGATGAGGACTCTTCCCTTCACCCCTGTGCTTGGCATCGGTGTGTGACGGGGAGCGGCTACAGTCCTCTGCACTACATGCCGTTTCTAAATTGCAATATCAGTCAAATCCAGACATGTAAAGCAGAGTTCCAGATGATCTACCCTTCTGCCGGGCGTGCTCATATTCATAAGTGCACGTGCAGCTAAGCCTGTACAGCAAGTATGGAAGTATGGCAACTACGGGTCTGTGGAAAACATTAAAAAGCACTACAAAGGCATGAACAGTGAGAACCTTTAAGGCCTCACACAGTCAGAGCATGGTCGCCTGGTCAGAGGGCCGAAAGAACGCGAAGTTTGTCTGAGACGTTGCCGAGCGTGTTCAGCACTAGGATGAGGAGGTATATCCACACGGACGAAGGCGTTGCATGAAGGCCACCAGCGCTGAACTTGGCGGACAGATCGAAGCACCCAGCCATGATACAGTGAGGATACAAGCACAAGCCCAATGCAGACATGCGTATTATCCCAAGTGACATGACAGGCAGCGCGTAAGTGTTCGACTGTGTACCGCAACACACACGAGTGGGAGACGGAAGCTAAAGTGCGTCTGCAACTCCCCACGAGCTTGCAAACTCGCGTTTAGTTTGCGAGCTCGATTACACGCGGACCGGTGACGTCCCAACTTTCTGTATCCCGCAACATGTATCCCCGCATCCCCTAACCCCAGAACGGAACCACTCTGTGCAGCATTCGTGAACCGTTCGCAGATGAACTCCCTGAGAAATCGCCCGCATCCCTGGCAGGTTGACATAGGTTGATCCAACTAAACAGCAAATTGGCAGTGACACATTTCTGGTATTCCCAGAACTTGGCCTACATCCCCAATGAGGATCTAAACCTATGCGCAGTCTCGATATGTCCTTGTACCTTGATGGCGGCCGGACCCTGAACAGGATGCATCGGTCCAAAATCCGATCCGGATCGATCCGGATCGAGAAGCCTTCTTCCTTGACCTATGGCAACGTCAAACTCGGGGAGTGGTTGGCAGCCGAGCGACATGTAGATCGAAGTCGCGCAGGAAACTTCGAAACGCAACTTCCTGACTTGCTACTTAAGTTTCTTGGGCTGTCCCAGCCGGGCTTGATGCAGAAACTGCAATAGCTGACTCCGATACCAGTACCACCCACCTCTCTACCCCTCCTCAAAAATACCATAATTGACTTCAGTACCACTCCAGTCCGCTGACAAATGTCCTGCTCGGTCCCTACAACTAACCTGACATCATGCTTTCAAGGGATCACATTGGCATCTATGATCGTCAGGCTTTCACCAGGACCAGGTTGGTCTGAGGATTCCAAGATAACATTATCAACTCTTCAGGGCTAGTCTGTTGTATTCTTTGCTGAGTCTCAACTTGCGTCTTGGCAAAGATCATCTGCTTCGTCAAGTTGAAGAACTGCCGGTGGTAATACACCGAAAGCCACGGAAGAAGGGCAAAGATGTAAGTGGGAATGCCGAACGCGGGGCTCAATAGCAGATTCCCCCACACGCGCACTTGATTCAGGCAGGGTCGGGGCAATGGGACGCGTTCAGGCGGCCTGGACCCAGGTGCGCCTGCAGGTGGCTGTACGTCTGCAGCCTCTCCAGCCTCTCATCCGAAAAGTCTGGGCCGAAGCCCTTGCTCAAGCTGATGATTGACCAGGGCAACGACGCCACGTGGCAGAGCCAATATAAAACGTACCTCAAAGGTTCAACCGAGTTTTCGACTGCAAACGAGTAGAAATAGGAGGGGATTCTGTGGTACCTTTCACTGGGCTCATGTAAGCAATGCAGGGAGTTGCAGTGAACATTTAAGCTACCAAAGTAATCAAAGAAGCCACGGCAAAAACCCACGACTGCATGTATTTCTCGACACTTTGTATGGCACAGCTGAGAGGGGACAGATCGCAGAAAGAGCAGCTGTGCTAGACTCTAGACATTGACAGGATGATGAACTCGACAAGACAAAGCACGAGAGGGCGATCCGCCTCTGGATCTTCTTGTGCAGCTGCCTGGGTAGCTGACGAGGTGACTACATTCCGTCATCGTTCTTAGGAGTGTACAAGCTTTCTAAAGCAAGCGCCTCGATTCCGTAGCTGAATCAAAAGCATCGTGTCGATATTTCATCCGGGTTAGAAAAGGGCCGCCTGGCTACGATGATAATGACTAGAGTTTCATTAAAGCACCCAGTCTTGAGATGCCAAGGCCAAGGACTATTCAAAGGCTTTGTTGTGTTGTTAGGGGTCCCTAAGGGATCGGCACAGCCAAGGGCGTGCCCCGAAGAATCCAAGTCGGGATCCTGTCAACCAAGCCTCTCAACAGGAGCCCGGTTGCCAGGTCTTCACGAAGCCAACCTTGAAACGGGTCAGATCTCCGTCTTCGACTTGCAAAGGAGACGCAGCTGCTGCTGCATGGTGCACCTGAGCCAAGGACATTCGACACCCATAGTAGGATCCCCAAATGCACACCCTGACAGTCATGTCCCAACGACTCCTCTCACATTAGGCCGTGAAAATCGGGATCCCCCTTGAACAGTCCATTCCAAAAGCTGCAGATTACAACTGGGGCTGAGCGCTGCCATCGAAACAGTGACAGTAGAAGCATGAGCGCTAAATCTGAGGTGTGTCTTCGGAGGGAACTATGTCCTTACTTCCAGAATGGAGTCTTGAGTTTCAAGAAGGTCGCGTGGGCGATAGAAAGGCTTCAGTGCAGGGTTCTCAAGCTTCGCTCAATACATAACTTTCGTATAGGTTGCGACTGAGGAGCGTCCAAGTGGGTCATGCGCATATACGGGAAACAATTCTATGCTATACACATGTGGGCATGTATGCAAGTCTGCGTGCCTGCAGCTCTGCTTGTCTGTCGGCATGAGGTAATGTGTGCATATATGCATGTACGTCTCCCTGTCTCCGTCCGTCGATCCGTCCGTCGATCCGTTGGTGTGTCGGTCGGTTGGTCGGTCGGTTGGTCTCTCGTGCAGGCTGCCTGCCTGCCTACCTATTTGTATGTGTACATATGCTTGTGTGTATGTCTGTCCGTATGTATGAATGTATGGATGCATGGGATGGAAAGGAACGGAATGGAATAGAATGAAGGAAGGAAGAAAGCAGCAAGGAAGGAAGGCTGGATGAATATGTGGATGCATGCATGCTTGCATGCATGCATGTATGCATGTATGTGTCTATCTATCCCTCTATCTGTGAATCTATCTATGTAAATGTGTACCTTTGTATCTAGGTACCTGTATATCTGTGCATGTAGTGTAGTTTAAGGTAAAGTAACGCAGTGTAAGGCAGGGTAAGGTAAGGTAATGTATGTTTGTATGTACATACTTACTCATGTTTGAAGGTATGTACGTACGTATGTATGCACGCACGTACATAGGTATGTATATATATGTATATATGTATGTATGTATATGTATGTATGTAGGTATGTGCTTTGTATTTTTGTATGTATGTATGTATGTATGTATGTATGTACCTATGTACCTACATACCCACGTATCTGTGCACGTATGTAGCTATGCGGCGCAATAGCGTGCAACATAATGCTACTGTAATGTCATGTAATGTTAATGCAATGTTAAGTAGTGTCTTATAATGCAAGAACAACTTCATGTAATGTGATGTCATGTAATGCCATGTAATGCCATGTGATGTCCCTGCTTACTGCAATGTAATGCAATGCAATGTAATGTATGCATGTATGCATGTATGTCTGTATGCATGTACATACTATCTATGGATGTATCTATATACGTATGCAAACATGTGCGAGTGCACTCTCTATCTATCGATCTATCTATCTACATATTTATGTACCTATCTACCTATCTATCCATGTACCTGCCCACCTACCTGCCTACCTACCTATCTGTACGACTGGCAAGCCAGGAAGAGCAAGCACTTCAACCGGGGCCAGGTGCATGGGATCTCATGTGCCTCGTGCCTTGGACAACGCAGCTTACGCATCCACATCGTATGCCCTGCACAGACCCTCACCCCAACTCTCGAAGGAGGAGGCGCTCCCACACTGCCGATGTCAGGATTCAGCCGCTGGAGACTTGTCAGGAAGCCCATGAAGCACAGCTCTTGCAGCAAGAGCAAGATGAGGACGGCCGACAGACCGCTGCCGAACCTCGAGGACAAAAGGCTGCAAAAAGTCGGAACATGGGCTTTGCGAGACGGTTACGTCCTCGCCCTAGAAGGGGTTGGCGTACCGGGTCATGTGGAATCTCAGCGCGAAAAACCGAAACGATAAGCCTAGTGAGTTGAAATACAGACACGCAGAGCTTCCAGAGTTTCAACACGGAAGCGAGCAATGCATGCAGGGCTCAGCAACGGAAGTTATGGCTCGTAAGGATGTAAGACCGTAACAGACTTTGAACACAGAAACTGCACCTTCGGTAGGCGTGACAACAACGGAGCCTTCCAAAAGCAGTTCAGCAAACAAGCAATGCACTGGGCGCATAACCACAGCTTTAGAACCAACCGACCAACAAACACGCACGGAAACGCAAATCGAGTACTCCTCACCACCCCACCACCTCACGACCTACTTTCAAGGCTTTTTGTTTGTTTCTTCCCCTAGGTAAACGAATTTTTGAAGACAGCACTACAGCACACGAACATTCCAAGACCAAAATCATACTGGTCCTGCGGAAGCATAACTAGCATAACAGTTCAGAATTCTGAGATTTTGAAAGGACTGAAGTTTCGCACAAAGGTTCTGAAAGGCTGGCTGCACAGAAGGATAAGCTTCCTTGATGGTACCGGGGGTGTTGATCAGGCTGCAAAGCTTGAGAGTCAATGACGGTATGCCAGCTTCGGCAACAACTTTGGTGCAGGGCTTCAGGTCGGCCACCCCGCTGTCCCCGACATGGTCAGCAGATTCGGAATCCGATCGTCACGGCCCCTCTGGAGGCTCTCAAACTTTCTTCCCGCAGTCCCGACGACAGGTGATGCTCCGAAACACAGATCCCCGAGATCGTTACCGAAAACGATAAGAAGCCCGTCCATGGTGTTTCTGCCAAAATCTCAGAGTGACTCTCAAGATCTGCCAAGATGCATGATTGGAAGCACAACAAGATACGCGAATGTGTGAGCGATGGCAAAGAAGAAACGATGGTCGGGCAGGTCCTTAACCAGGGATTTCTGTGGGACGTGGGGCAGCGGCTTCGCAAAGTTGCTTCAGCATCGAAGCTCATGGTGGGGTTTCCAAAATTGGACCTCCGCAGGCGCATCTCACAGGTGCTAGTGCCGAGATTCGTTTCCAAGGGCTCCGATGTAGCTTGGATGCAGGAATCCCGGCACAAACCCCCAGGCGGTTGCACCTGGAGTCGCTCCGCTGGCTCTGTGCACCGCTACCCCAGTGTCACGCCTTTGGATGCCTTCGGCCTAGCCTCCACGCATCCAAGCAGACCCTTTCGAGCGCACACGTGCGCATATCTCATGTGTTTGTTTCGCAATGTGTTACTGAATCTTCGCTCGCAGACTTGTGCGCACCGGCCCCTTGCACCTGACATCAGCAGCGCCAGGATCCACACCACTGCGCAGAGGACCTTCGTCCGGAAACGAAGGCTCTCCGCCTGGGCCTTGCTGCAATCGATATGGTTCTCCAGCAAATCCAGGATGATGTCCGAGCGCAAAACTGAAAGAACCACCTGAGCAACTTCTTAGCGTTTTGGCAAATCTGGGTTGCTTTCGGACAGACTTTCAAATGCTAGAAACTGTCTGAAACTACTACGAAGCCCATATTTCAGATTTTTCAAGCAAACAGTATGCAAGGCCAGTTTGCGGATATGTGAAAGGCATTGAAAGGCCTGCCAGGCTTACAGGCCACTGTGGGCAACCCCCTTCTGCAGTCAAGCACCGGCGCCCAGTCAAGCTCAAGCAGGGTTTTATCAGGCCCCAAAGTACACAAGCATCTACCTTCCATGAGGTACACGTATCTTATACAATTAAACTCTACATGCATGTACGTACATGCTGATCCTCATTGAGCCCCTCTAGCCGAAGTATGCAGTCTTACAGTGACCCTCAGAGCGACAGTGCCGCCGATGCAAACACAGCTCGCCTGCAGGAACAGGAAGACAATCAGATGGGCCACGGTGTTTTGCAGCCATGTCCAGGCATCCAACCAGGTCGGACCAGTTTGATGGAGAAAGCGGCTCAAGCAAAGACCTTCGCAGCGGAAAGAGGGACAGAAGGAACCTCAACATCGGCGCACCTAGTAGGTAGCAGGTATATGATCGGGTTGAATGACCTTTGTAGACTCACTTGGGGTTGCACAAACTGTACACGATGAGATGCGCAGACCCAATCATCTCGTTCGTTGATAGAACTCAAAAGAACAGCCTCCGCAAGCCAACACCAGGAAGGTGACAGAGATGGCCCAGCACCGGACGAACGCACCGGCACCTCCAGCTCTACTGCATTGTGTCTGGAGGGTGGGGAGGGAGCTTGGGTTTACAAGAGCAAGCAGGTGATCCTAAAGAAAGAGTTTCCTTCAACTATTGCTAGCTTCTGTGTAGCAAAAGAACACCGGTAATATGACGACGAGGAAATCCTCAAGGTACTTGGGCGTTTCCCGGGGGAAGTGATGCAGCTACGGTCTTGAAAGAACCCCAAGACAAGGACCCTTACAAATGCAGTTTGACGAACCCCGCAAAGAGCACAATCCGGCAATGCCGCTGCTCTTCGAAACTCTCCTGTCGAATTGCAAGGTAAGCCGAACGCGAAAAGAGCTCAAGCCGAGCCCCCAGAACGCCCCTCTATTCCTAAAGTTTTTCTCTTTTATTGCCCCCCCCCCGTCGCGTCGCCGAGAGGCCGGGCAAGGCGATGCCCCAGACGCTGGTGAAGACTACGAAGCTCCTGTAGAGGAAAAAAGCAAGGGCTTCGAAGGACAACTACTTACAAGGAAGACTATAAAGAGGTGCCGAGCTTCCTTCGTTGCTCACATTGGGAATGGCAAACAGGCTGCAAATCCGAATTTCTGCGCACGCTGCATTAAGCTTTACCAGTCACATCTTACGGGCTGCAGGATGCATCATGCCGGCTATCAGCTCTCACGAAAGAGTGCGGTAGTGGGCGTTCTGAAGGCATGGGTTAGAGTTGCCGGTGGCTAAAAACCAGGTTCGAGCAAACTGTCTTGTACTTCCAGCAAGTGAACTCGATTCCTTTTGGGGGATTCGGGCAGAAGGCGTGGACGCCGAGACTTCCTAGCAGAATGCTTTGTATCTTAACGTGCTCACAGTCAGAACCATGAGTACAGAAGTTGGGCCCCATAGCATCTGAAGCTTCGCGTGGAAGCTACGAGCGAAGTCTCCGGGATGGCAGCTTGTTAGGTCCCTTGACAGCCGGTGGATGCTCCAAGGTACGGTTCCAGGTGATGTGGTTTGATGCTCGCGCATTCGCACAGGGCAGCTCAAGACACTGCATGGTGTCGTTGAATATCCTTCTCAATCGCATATTGTGCTAAAGCGGTTGGACCAAAAAATCGAACAAGGACCCAGGTGCTGGTCGATCACTTGCACGGCCCGCTCTTCCGACGAAGCCAAACTCACCAGCTCATCCTTTGGACACTCGCCGATCTAAGGGCAATTTCCGTTAGGGAGTGCTGTTGCCGGCCGATGAAGTTCCTATGGCGTGTTGGCTCCCCAAAACAAGTTGGCTCTCTCCTGACTGAAGAAGCCTCGAGAAAAAATCTGACCCCCTCAGGGTCCAAATGCGAAGAAGTGGTGCTCATAAGAATGGTGTTAGTAGCAGTGGAACTAGTCGTAGTCATGTCGTAGTCGTGGTCGTAGTAGTCCTGGTAGTCGTCGTAGTAGTAGTGGCAGTGGTGGCGGTGCTGGTGTGGTGCTGGTGTGGTGGTGGTGGTGGTGGTGCAAAATTCCAGTGTACAATACAAACAGTTGGGATCACTCCTACCAGTGAACAGTCTATTTCACAATCCTGTTTCCTGGATGCGAACAAGCAGTCGTCCAGTCTTGAGCCAATGTAGCATCATGGTATTCTGTACATGTGCGCAGGTGCATTGGGCTCGTGTCATTTAACAGGTGGTGGTGGTGGTGGTGGTGGTGGCGGTGGCGGTGGCGGTGGTGGCGGTGGCGGTGGCGGTGGCGGTGGCGGTGGCGGTGGCGGTGGGTGGCGGTGGCGGTGGCGGTGGCGGGTGCTG